GGAACCCGAAATTCCCAAAAATTCCCCCAAAATTCCCAAAATTTCCCCCAAAATTCCCAAAAATCCCCATGAAAATCTGCCCAGAAACGGCCAAAATCCACCAAAATCACCCAAAATTCCACCCCAGGGACCCCCAAAACTGCTGGGCCAGAAGCCCGTGTTGGTGGGAACCCAAAAATCCATCAGGAACCCGAAATTCCCAAAAATTCCCACAGAATTCCCAAAAAATCCCCGCGAAAATCTGGCCAGAAACAGCCAAAATCCGCCCAAAATCACCCAAAATTCACCCAATTCCACCCAAAATCCACCCCAGGGACCCCAAAACTGCTGGGCCAGGAGCCCGTGCTGGGAGGGAACCCAAAATCCGTCAGGAACCCGAAATTCCCAAAAATTTCCCCAAAATTCCCAAAATTTCCACCAAAATTCCCAAAAAATCCCCGCGAAAATACGCCCAGAAATGGCCAAAATCCGCCCAGGAACGGCCAAAATCCACCCAAAATCACCCAAAATTCCACCCAGGGACCCCCAAAACTGCTGGGCCAGGAGCCCATGCTGGGAGGGAACCCCAAAATCCGTCAGGAACCCAAAATTCCCAAAAATTCCCCCAAAATTCCCAAAAATCCCCATGAAAATCCGGCCAGGAACGGCCAAAATCCGCCCAGGAACGGCCAAAATCCGCCCAAATCCACCCAAAATTCCACCCCAGGGACCCCCAAAACTGCTGGGCCAGGAGCCCGTGCTGGGAGGGAACCCCAAAATCCGTCAGGAACCCAAAATTCCCAAAAATTCCCCCAAAATTCCCAAAAATTCCCCCAAAATTCCCAAAAATCCCCATGAAAATCCGCCCAGAAACGGCCAAAATCACCCAAAATTCACCCAATTCCACCCAAAATTCCACCCCAGGGACCCCCAAAACTGCTCGGCCCGACCCCAAAATCCGTCAGGAACCCAAAATTCCCAAAAATTCCCAAAAATTCCCAAAAATTCCCGCGAAATTCCGCCCAGAAACGGCCAAAATGTCCCCAAACCCTCCAAATTCAGCCCAAAATCCCCCCCAAAAAACCCAAATTCCCCCCAAAATCCCCAAATTACCCCAAAATCACCCAAATTTTCCCCCAGAATCCCCAAATCCACCCCAAATCACCCGAAATTTCTCCCCAAAAAAACAAATTCAGCCCAAAATCCCAAATTCCCTCCAATTTTCCCCAAAATGTCCCAAATTCCCCCCCCAAAAAAACCCAAAATGCCTGAAATTCCCCCAAAATCCCACCAGAATTCCCCAAAATTCCCCCAAAAAGCCCCAAATCCCCCCAAAATCCCCTAAAAATGCCCCAAATTCCCCAAAAAAACCAAATTCAGCCCAAAACGCCCGAAAATCCCCCAAAATGCCCCAAATCCCCCCAAAAATCCCAAATTCCCACAAAATCCCCCAAAAAAACTTCAAGTCCCCTCAAATTCCCCTCGAATTTCCCCAAAAAAACCCAAATTC